GCTTGGAACCATGTACAGATAGCAACAACCATTACATGTGTATTAAGCATGTAATTAATTGACTGAACCACACATGGGTCTGAATTGTACTTTTGAGGTGGTCTGAGGGTTTATAAGGAAGGAGCTAATTCTAAGAAGCCATTCCAATAATATCTCATTAAACCATGAGGAGTTTCCTCATTTGGGACATCTGTAATGTCACAACCCAATATACTGTATATTAATAAACTATTGTTAATTTGTGCCATAATAAAAACTTTATGATCTGGAAGGAAAAATAGAGAAATTCCATATGATTTCCTTATTCATGCTACTTGAAGTAAATAACGGTCTTCTTTGTTTTAAACATACATATGTAGGAATGTTGTTGAGACTGGGCATCACCATATTTGTATCTTTGACATGTGATCAAACGTTTTCCAAAAGGCACATTTTTTTTTCACCTTAAGCCCTCTTGATACTTTCATGTCTTTGTGAGAGTTTGTCAACCATATTACAAAGACCAGCAAAATGTTCATCATAATGATAAGAAGATATAGGTGGTATCTATATATTGCAAGCAAAATGTTCTCACAGTGGGTGGAATCTAACAGAAGAACTTTTGATCTAGTTGCAGAATCTGTTAACAGAAGAGTAGGGTGGACTAAACCCTCCTCCACGTGGTCTGCAGCAATCCCACAATCATCTCCAGAGAAGTTATTCTACAAGTTAGAAGGTGTTCATGGTGGTGGGCTGAGGACTGAAGGAGGAATCAGGAAAAAAAAATATATGCTTCTCTCTACTTCCATTAGCAGATGCACCTGCAAAATCAAAAGGCTCCCCTGGAGTGTAAGAGCATGAAATGGATTCCACATGTACAGGAATCTTAAGAATTGTGGTGAAATATTAGGAATTATGGGGAAATAAATTGGGAGCTTTATTAATCCACTTAGACATTCTGGGGATAGGGTGGGGTGGGGAGTTGGTGCTATACTTGGAAGAATTGTTTTGCAAAAAGTGTGACTGTCCTGAGGAGAAATGTCAAGCAACAGGAGGTGATGGGAAAGTGCTACTCTGAGTATGCTTAGAAAAAACCCCACACAATTTTCTCTCACAACCCAATTTCCTGTGGCATTCTACTTAAAGAAAAGAAAAAAAGAATCCAAATAGGAAAAATCAGTTTCTATTCTGGAAAAGAATGGAGAATTGCAATCTAACCTCCCTTCCACCCTACATGGCATTGGATAAGGTGGATACAGAGGTGGATTTTGGTCAGAGCAACCAGTTCCATCGCAGAGCCTAGGGGGTGCCACAGGGTGCTGCAACTATGACATAGTGAATTGAGCAGATTGGAGGGTGAGAGGTGGGGGTGGGGGTGAATTTTGGCCTTGCACAGAGTGCTGCTGAAATGTGAAAGACCAAAGTCTGTCCATGGTGAATAAAAGGTTTTCCACCTCTCCCCAGCCTAGGTCTGTATCATTCAAGTTTCTGCAATTATTCTCTTCCCAATACAACAAATTTCTCCTCATCCAAAAGTTCCTCTCACAGCTGAACCACCCATTGTTTGAGAGGGGACAGATTTACAGCCTTGTGCAAACCTCATGCTTCCCTTTCCCCCACAGAAAGTAACGTTTATTAAGTTTATTTATTTTAGTAAGTAATTTATAGATCACCCTTTGCCAAAAGACCAAAGGGCAGTTTGCAACACAAAGATAACACAATGGCCATACAATGGAAGCATTTAAAAACAATTATTTCAATACAACTCATAATAAGAGCAGTAGCATTAAACTACAGTAAGCCCACATCTTATGTGAGGGTTACATCTGGGGATCGCTCTTGGAGCTAAAATAGCATATAGTCAAAACCCATTGGGTTCAATGCTGGGTAGGAGAGCCAAAGTCATTTTTCCTGGAACCCTTCCCACCTTCTTCTTCTTCTTCTTCTTCTTCTTCTTCCTCTCACACACATTAGAGTATAGGAGTATAGCATCTAGATCAAGGGAAGTAATAGTGCCACTGTATTCTGCTCTGGTCAGACCTCACCTGGAGTACTGTGTCCAGTTCTGGGCACCACAGTTCAAGAAGGACACTGACAAACTGGAACATGTCCAGAGGAGGGCAACCAAAATGGTCAAAGGCCTGGAAACGATGCCTTATGAGGAACGGCTAAGGGAGCTGGGCATGTTTAGCCTGGAGAAGAGGAGGTTAAGGGGTGATATGATAGCCATGTTCAAATATATAAAAGGATGTCACATAGAGGAGGGAAAAAGGTTGTTTCCTGCTGCTCCAGAGAAGTGGACACGGAGCAATGGATCCAAACTACAAGAAAGAAGATTCCACCTAAACATTAAGAAGAACTTCCTGACAGTAAGAGCTGTTCGACAGTGGAATTTGCTGCCAAGGAGTGTGGTGGAGTCTCCTTCTTTGGAGGTCTTTAAGCAGAGGCTTGACAACCATATGTCAGGAGTGCTCTGATGGTGTTTCCTGTTTGGCAGGGGGTTGGACTCGATGGCCCTTGTGGTCTCTTCCAACTCTATGATTCTATGATTCTATTCTATGATTCTATGATTATTCTGAATGAGCACAACTTAAATGTGCATGGGCTTGCTGCATTCATAAATGACTAGTCACCATACTTTTCATCCAAAAGCATGCTGGGAAGATGTGTGTGTTCATCTCAGCAGGAATAAGATTCCATAGGCCTGGAATCAGCACAAAAGGCTGATTCCATATATCACCGCACTGTGCGCTTCATGCAAAGAACCACCAATCTGATATCTTTAAGGTACAGTTTGATATGGGAGAAAGCATATAGGCCTGAGGCCATTCATGATGTTAAACATGAATATACTGGTAAGTACCTTGGAATTTTGCTCTGGGAAAGAATTGGCAACCAATGAAGTTGTTTTAAAATGAGAGTTAAATACCCTCAGCCTGCCACTCCCATAATGGCCCTGGATGTCACATTTCACACTAGTTGCCATTTCTGAACTGTCTTTAAGGGCAGTCCCACACAGAGCACATTACAGTAGTCCAACTGGGAGGTTACCAGAGTGTGGACGACTATGACCAGGCTGTCCCTATCCAGGAAAGGCAAGACAGTGGTTCCTCAGGTTACAGACGCTTCAGGTTACAGACGCTTCAGGTTACAGACTCTGCTAACCCAGAAATAGTACCTCTGGTTAAGAACTTTGCTTCAGGATGAGAAAAGAAATCGCTTGGTGGCGGCGCGGTGGTGGCGGCAGGCCCCATTAGCTAAAGTGGTGTCTCAGGTTAAGAACAGTTTCAGGTTAAGAACAGACCTTTGGAATGAATTAAGTTCTTAAGCCGAGGTACCACTGTAGTTGGTACACCAGCTTGAGCTGGTCATAAGCATTCCTAGTCGCTGAAGACCTCAAGTAATGATGATGATGATAATAATAATTTTATTATTTATACCCCACCCATCTGCTGGGTTTTCCCAGCCACTCTGGGCGGCTCCCAACAGAACAATAAAAACAGAATAAAACTTCAAACATTAAAAACTTCCATAAACTGGGCTGCCTTCAGATAGTTGTTTATTTCCTTGACATCTGAAGGGAGCGCATTCCACAAGGCAGGCACCACTACCGAGAAGGCCCTCTGCCTGGTTCCCTGTAACCGCACTTCTCACAGTGAGGGAACTGCCAGAAGTCTCTCAGCTCTGGACCTCAGTGTCTGGGCTGGACAATGGGGGTGGAGACACTCCTTCAGATATACTGGGCCAAGGCCGTTTAGGGCTTTAAAGGTCAGCACCAATACTTTGAATTGTGCTCGGAAACGTACTGGGAGCCAATGTAGGTCTTTAAGGACCAGTGTAATATGGTCTCGGTGGCCACTCCCAGTCAACAGTCTGGCTGCCACCTTCTGGATTAGTTGTAGTTTCTGGGTCACCTTCAAAAGTAGCTCCACGTAGAGCGCATTGCAGTAGTCCAAGCGAGAGATAACTAGAGCATGCATGACTGTGGCGGGACAGTCTGTGGGCAGGTAGGGTCTCAGCCTGCATATCAGATGGAGCTGGTAGACAGCTGCCCTGGACACAGAATAATGATGGTTCAAGGAGCCATATTTACTCATAAGAGTAAATATAGGTGTAAAGAGTAAATATAAGGCTAAATAGTAACTGGCAACTATTTACTTACACAACACAGGACCATAGGAATCTGCCTTCTAGTGAGCCAAAACATTGGTCCATCTAGCTCAGCATTGTCTACCCTGACTGGTCGTTTCTGTCCAGGATTTCAGATGGGCTTCTTTCCCAGCCCTACCAGGAGATGCTAGGGATTGAACCTGAAACCTTCTGCATGCAAAGCAGATTCTCTACCCCTCCCTTCCTCAAAAGAATAGCAAAGAGGTGTACTTTGAAACATACATTTGGGGTTCCAGTTAAAGGCTCTGTTCATCCCCCAATCATCTTGTTGCTTTCTGCCCATTTAACATACTTCATAGGACTTAGTGGGAGCCATTTAGAAGAGTCCTGTGTATTATTATGAGAGTCCCTCTTTTCTCTATATCCAGAAAAATGAGTGAATAGATTCCTTATTGCAAGGACTGATAATGACTTCTGCATTTGGCTGCTAGTAGTGATTTGATTTTTTTTCCAGAGGTTGAACTTTATGAAGAAACATGAGCAATACTGCAAAAAAAGGCCCAGAACAATCAAATGAAAAGTTCAAACAATGCACTAAAACTCTTCTGTCAGCGGAAAAAAAGAATATTCAGGCTTTGCAGCAAAAAATAACGCCAGTTTATTTGAAAGAAAAAGGGTTGCAATTTTGGAAGGCAAAGGGGCGATGACAGTAATCATAAGAGGCCCCAGCCATCTTAAGGGGGTTGACTTTGGTGAAAGTCCAGGTAATACAGAATACCCCTGTAATTCCTTTGGGGGTGGCAAGGCAGGGAAAACGGATATCTTAGCTATCTCCTCTGACATGGACACATTTGAAGGCCTATGAGAGGGATGAACAAGAAGAGACAACCAGGAATCAGACTCATTTTAGGCTCTGGGACAGCTCAGTCAGGAGAGCATGAGACTGTTAATCTCAGGGTTGTGGTTTTGAGCCCCACCTTGGGGGAAAAACCATTTCATTGCAGGTGGTTGGACTAGATGACCAGTATTGTCACTTCCAACTTTACAATTCTATTATTCTATGATTCTGTGCCCAGGGAATACTGAGAGGCAAAGGGAAGTGTGTTAAGAATATAAGGAGAACCTGCTGGATGAGGTCAATGGCCCGTCTAGTCCAGCATCCTGTTCTCACAGCCAATCAGATGCCTCAAGGAGGATTTGAACACAAGAGCACTCTCCCCTCCCCTCCAACAACTATGGAGACAGAGTACAGCCTGGGAATTGCTTCTAAGAGTCACCCCACCTTTTCCAAAGTAATCAACATGTGAAACTTCTCCTAGTTGCCAAGATAGAGGTGGACAGAGATGGATTTGATGTGGCCAGGTGAATTCAGTCTTGAAATTAAGGCCTGGATGGCAGATGCTAATTTTCACTTTTTAGTTACTTTGGAGGAAACAGTGGACATGCACCTGTCATAGTTCAGACAGATAGATATCAATATAGATCATCTTTATGTGACCTGCCTCCTCATTAGGAATGCTTGTCTCTTCTCACTCCTCTGAAAATGCAGGATGAAATTTTCAGTGTAAAAATAGCTGTCCGCATGATATAAAGCCATTACTCTACTTTTGATTTATGGTGAGGACATATTTTTTTGTGTATTATCAGGGTGCTACCTTCACCGACTTTTCTAGGGCTCCTAGTCAGTGCGGGAGATTTTAAACACCTTCACCTGAATTGAGTTCACAATCCCCTTCGGACCTTCCTGCTGAACATGGGGAAGTCGGCCTGGAGGGGGCCGGACTGGCACAGGTGGCTCCTCGCCCCTCCACCAATACAAATGGATGCCCGCAAGGTCTTGTGCTTGGTCTGATCCAGACCTTCACAAATAGCTCAGCTGGTAGAGCATGAGATCCATGCTGTCAGGGTCGTGGGTTAGAGCCCCACATTGGGCAAAAGATTCCTGCATTGCAGGGGGTTGGACTAGAAGACCCTCATGGTTCCGTCCAACTCTATGATTCTATGAAAACATGTCCCTGCAAGCAGAAAGCCAGGGTTGCAGTGGCCTTTACCAGTTAAGCACTTACCTGCACGAGGGGCAAGTGCTTTCTCTCTGTGTGTGAGACAGACCCTACTCTTGAATTTTTTGGGGAGGAAGTGTTAGAGCAAATGGTTCAAGCAAGAGACAATATGGAGGCAGTGATGGCTGCCATCATGAGTGGCTTTTAAAAGGAATTAGACAAATTCCTAGAAGCTAGGGCTCTTGTTTGCTCCTAGCCATGATGTCTATGCTCTCCATGGTCGGAAGCAGTGATGTTTCTGAATAGCAGTTGTTGGAATTGCTGAAGGAGAGTGCGCTTGGGTTTCCCAAAGGCATCTAGCTGACAAGTGAGAAGAGATGATGCTGAACTACTGTAGATGGGCAATGGCCTAATCCAGTAGGCTTGTCTTATGCTCTTACTATTTGCATGTGGCATAGGGGTCAGAGAGACATGGGAGACGGTTGCAACTATGCTACTTTGTAATGTGGTGCCCTCATGCTTCCTTTTGTGGGGCGATCTCTTCTGGCACCCACAGCTGTTTGGGTGGAGTGTATGAACTGATCTACTTATGTAGCTATAGACAGGCACATGTGTGCTTAAGGAGCTAATGCTTTGAGGATCTTTACTGGAGACAGTTGCGCACCACAGACTTTAGTGCAACAAATACGATTACTCTGTAAATATCAATACTGCTTTGCTTATTTTGGGTGAAATTAGCCAAAACCACTGAATGTCAATATTGTTTTGTTTGCTATGGGGAATTAGCAAGGAACACATGGTTTATTATGATTGGACTATTTATTTACAAAAAACCCCCTGGCAGACAGTAAATAAAACATCTTTGCAACTTGAAGTGCCAATATTAGTATTACAGGGCAGAAAAGGCAGTTAGTTCAATGCAAGGAAAAACTCAGAGGGTGGGATTAAATGATGGTTTCCTCAGAGTAGACCCACTGAACTAAATGATCATGGCTAAGCTATGTCCATTAATTGCAATGGGTCTCTTCTGGGTGCCTGGACTATAAATGCATGAAAGGTCTGATCACTGTTAGCCTCCCCCAAAATATGGGGAGCATGAAAGGGGAACAGTGTGTTTTGCGGTGGGGGTCAGTGCCCATCAAAATCAGTTTCCTTTAGATATTCAGATATTTCCTTTAAATATTCAGAGGAATTGGGATTGGGGAAGCTACTAGCATTGGGGCACTTGTTCCCCTTCACACACACCCTTCAGAGCTGCTTTCCATATGTTGTAACAGATTATGAGCCCAGTTTTGGAACTTCCTTCAAGCGCTGAGGGTTTGGCTATAAGCCAGTGACGGCATCTGTAAAAATAACTGCAGCTCTAATTAGACATGTTCAACATTATGCAGAATGAGGTGGCAGACAATGAGGGTAGATCGCCTTCAATTCCTGGGGCAGTATTTGTGCATGTTCTCACACATAAAAAGCTCATTGTATATTGTAAATGAACATATCTAGGCTATAGCTAGGCCAAACTTTCTCCCACAATGAAGAATTTACTGCCTGCAGAGTTGGGTTTTTTTTTTTACACAATATCCAAAAATATAACTTCTCGATGCATCTTGAAATGGTATGATACTACTTTAATCCACCACCTTTTTCTGTGTGATGTAACATGGCTCGAAGGATGCAGTTATTGAATTTACGTCATGGTGAATTTGTCTTTGTTCTGGCTACAGACAAGACTGGGTGTGTGAGTCCCCTACTCCCAAAGTCATAATTTTGTGCCTCAGTAACCCAGAGTATGAGCTAAGAGAGGCTAAATTCTGCACGCTGTATAAATTATGCAACATTTAATATATTTTCTTAGTTTGCATACATTCTGCAAACTCCTTTGCAAGGCTTTTACACACACACTTCTGAGCCTATCTTGACTGCTGTTAAGGACTTATTTAAATGAATACAGAGGTTCTTAGGATGGAAAATAATTTGTCAACCCAAAAATTTGCACTAATGCAGAACTGTGAAGCAATCCACAAGAAGTGAAAGTAGCTGACTAGCTGTTATCTCACCCTGCTTTTAATACACTTATAATGCAGTTCTCTCAATAGTCACTTAGTATCACTATGCTTTACAAAGTATCACTATGCTTTACAAATACAAATCAAAAAGAAGTATCCATATCAACTCCTAGGAATGTGATTTATTCACCCATGCATTCCAAAAAAGAAAAGAAAAGTATACTACTTTAAAAAGTAAACAATAATTGTTCCTGAAGTGGTTTGTAAGCTGCTTTGGGAAGAACTTTGCTTGAAGGTGGTACACACATTTATTAAATGAATGAAAAAAAAAAAGGTACGTCACTTTCCTACAGGGCCAGCCAGGATGTTTTGCTGCCCTGGGCAAAACTAAAAATGCCACCGCCATCTTGCAACCTGAGGTGGCTCAGGAAGAAAAAGGAGGTGTGCGACAGTGGCCAGCAGGCAGATTCATTGCCTAAATAGACTGCCTCACCCTGCCTCAAGAGCCCTGCATTCTTAGAGAAGTTTCCCAACTTATTTAGCCTGCATTCCCATGCGATTCCCATCCCTTACCTGGGAGAAAGTCCCATTGAGTGAGACTTATATTTCTTAGAGGGTATGCACAGGATTGCTCTGTTACTCTAGGAGACCAGAAAGCTTCTACTATGAAAATGGGAAATGAGAAGAAGAATCAACTTGGAATGACACGTTCTAGTTTAAGAACTGTATTGAACTCAACGTGGGCAGCTATCTTTTCCCCTGTGGAATGCTATTGCCAAAGGATATTCCATCTGAGGAATGCAGCTGGGCTGCAGAAGCAAGACTCACACATCCCCTGCCCCAAATAAAGGGGAAAAACCTGTTATTTAAAGGCCCCTCTGAAAATGCTTCACCTCCCAAAAGCTACTGAATTTCTGCCCACCTTTCTGGGGACAAATGACTCCATGAAAGGGAGGAGATATTTAACCCAGCTGTCCATCAAACCAGAGGCCTTCCAGATGTTGCTGTATTCCAATGCCCTGACCACTGGCCATGCTAGCTGGGGTTGATGGGAGATGCAGTCCAACAAGCTCTGTAGGGCCACAGGTACCACATCTCTGATTTAGAGGAAATCTCATAAAGCTAGGTCGAGTATCTCTTCAGTCCCACGTTCCCCATCCCCTTCCTTACTCACTTTACAAATATTGCTCATGCAAGGCCAGACTTCTACCCTTAACTCTCCCCATCCACCCATCTCTCCTACATATACAATGGTCATCGTTATTACCTACATTATTACCACGGTCATCATTATTATCTACTGCCATTAAGTATTTTTTCAAATTGCCAACTACTAATTATGCAAGGCTATTAGCTGGATATTAACTCGGTGGTTTGGCAAGATTTGATACAATAAGATTTGTGGGACCCTTTTTTCCTGGTAATTGCAGCGTTCCACTGTGCACAAGATACCAAGGCGTAGCTTCGTTTGATATATAGTGCACCTCTTTAAGCAGCACTTTATAGCTGCTGGCCTGTGTACACATTGCAGTTTCTGGCCTTTGAGATTATTAAAAAGCAATTCTTTGTCTGTAGAGACCTGCAAGCTCTCTGTGAGCACTGAACTGGAGGCAACTGAGTCCAAAATAAGGGGAAATCTTTTTTTAAAAAAGTATTATTTATGTGAATAGAAAGGATGCATAATAAATAAACAGGCAGTACACAGATGAACAATACATAGAAATGGGTAAGATGATAAAAATAAAAAAGAAGAAATCCAGAAAAGACAAGGAGTCTCCAGGGTTCTTTGAGATCCCTTTGGCATAATGGTTAGAGAGTTGGGCTAGGACATTGGTAACCAACATTCAAATCTCCAACCAGCCACAGAGCTCCTGGGTGAGCTTGGCATAGCTGCCATCTCTCAGCTGAATGTACCACACAGGATTGTTTTAAGGGTAAAATGGAGGGCAGTGTAGGAATACTTTATAGGCCATCTTGAGCACCTTGGGAGAAAGGTGGGATAGAAATGTTGTTATGATTAACAACAATATGCATCTAACATGGGGAGAAGGTTAATGGTACAATAATATGCTTGACTTTTTTTTTGCAGGAGTGGGGAGTATACCCATTACGAATTTGGTCAGATGGTTCCAAAGATATTTGTCAGCTTTGCATGTTTGACTGGGAACTTTTCATATATGTAAACCATGTGTGGAGAACCTGTGGCCCTCCAGATGTTGCTGGACAACAACTTCCCCCATCCCTGATTATTGGTTTGAAATAAAGAGAGATGCATTAGTGGTTCTCAAGCTGTGGGTCCCCAGATGTTGTTGGACTACAACTCCATCATCCCTGAGCTCTGGCCTTGCTAGCTAGGGGTGATGGGAGTTGTCGTTCAACAACATCTGGGGACCCACAGCTTGAGAAAGGCTGGAAGTGATCTGTCAACCTTAATAGCTATAGTCTGCTGCAAGACTCAAGTCTTCAACGCACAAGTATCTCAAAGCATTTTAGTCCTGCATAATTACAATTTAGGGCTGCACAGCTCATGCTGTGATCACCACCACCGAAGCAGGCATATTTTCCAACCTACGTATGTGGTTACAGATGGTCATTTTGAACTTGCTCTTTAATATTCCTTTCTTCAACAAAAGAATGCTTTTTGTACCAAGTAAATGTGTTTTAGCAGCAGAAGCAAATTCCTGTAGTCATGGTGGTGCCACAATGAGTGAAAGTGAGTTTAAAACATTAAACTCTGCACTTGCTTAGAGGGTCTTTCTTATTTTCCAAGAATGGTATTTTTTTTTTTAGTTGCTCTAACATAACAGGAATATACGGTAAAGCATGTAATGGTGGGGTGTAATGCATGTCTTTTGAATGAAGTGAAATAATACTCATTACCGTTTAAAGGGGGGGCGCCCTGTAAGACCATTATGTTTGGAGTCTGAAATT